TCATAGTGTCTTGGTGACCTCCCTCACTAGTCTCCTTCTTGTAACTCCTTCAGAGGAGTCATAGTGTCTTGGTGACCTCCCTCACTAGTCTCCTTCTTGTAACTCCTTCAGAGGAGTCACAGGTGTCTTCAAACTTGCAGCATAAGTTTAGTAGAAGTATTATGTGGACAAAAGTACATACATCTGTCAGATGAAGAGAATGCTGTTTAAAAATATTAATCTTGTGAAGTAAAAGGTAAAATAGCTCAAAAGTGTACTTGAGCAAATGCATTGAATTACTTTCAGCCTCTGTATTATTTATTTTATTGATGAATTAGTTATTTTCCAGGTTTAAGTCAAAAGTTTTCTTCAAGCAAAAAGAGCACAATGCAGAACAATGTTCAGTTTTCTGTGTTGTGGTTCAGATTAAAGCATCTAAATTGATTTAATTAATGTTTTAGTTTCAAACTTTAAAACGAAAACTGAAAACGTGAATTAAATGTCTCGGTTTGTGTCTCAGGTGCAGAAAATGTGGAACTGGAGGATACCTGCTGACTTCCACATCAAGCCACGAGTTCGATTCTTGCGCTACCGATTCCAGTGTACCGACCAATCAGCATGGCCCAGGAAACCCTACCCCTCCCACTAGCTGTAGGCCCCACCCACTGAACGGCAGCGGCTCGTTGGTGTTTTTTAAATATTTAAAAATGTTGTTTATAGACGTTTATTTTGTTGTAGAGAATCAGTGACATCATGCAGGTGTGACATCATCTTCACTGTAAAATGTTAAACTTCAGTAAAAGTTTTTGTCAACTTTGAACATCAAACTGAGATTTTGTGTTTCATCGGCGATCAGTTCTGGATCAATAATCACACTCACTGATCACTCAGATGAGGCTGTTTAAAAATTTATTGAACTGAAGCTTTGCCGTTAACACTTTATCTGAACTCTGTTTCCCACAATCCTCCTCTGTTGCCAGGTGGACAGCTGTCAGGTGAGCTTGGGTAGAACATATGGCTTATTGAAAACTGATGTCAGTATATTGATCACAGCTGATTGATAACTTCAGGAGGTCAAATAAACTCTTGTATGAAACAGGTTTAGGATTCTGTTCAGGTAAACGCAGTGAAAACAACCTCCCCACTTTAAACTGCCCAGAAGCAAAACTACCAAAGACAAGATGTGTCAGTTGTTGTTCTGATCATTCATGAACCAGGTCGAGTCATTTTTGAATAAAACACACGAGAGGAAACTCTGATCCACATTTTCTAGACGATGACAGAACATCAGGCTTCAGACTTCGCTTTGATTAAAAAACACGTCTGAGTGGAGTTTAGTGGAAGCGATGACCTGAAGTGACCTAAACCTAAAACCTGTTCCAGCTCTGATCGGAAACCTGAAACACCTGCAGCAGCCGAACACACCTGAGCTGATCCGACATCCTGAATCAGACAGAAACAAACACTGATCACAGCATTGATCCATCAGGGCTTTTTCATTCAGAACCATTCTGGAAGCTGTCAGACATTTAACAACCAGACTGGATCCAACAGAACCGCTCAGACCGTAACATCAGCGTTCTGTTTCACCTCTGAGTGTTTCTCATCCCACTGCTCCACTTCTGACTCCTCATAACAGAACAACGTCGTCCTTTCTGACCGATAATATTTATCTACCGTTCTGGGAAGATTTTATTCATGTTCTTCAGTAATTATCTGACATTTTCTCACTGGTAGTGTTTGGACACTTTATTAATCAATTTCAGACTATTTTTAAGACAATGATAAAAAAAGAAAAAAGCATCATTGATTATTTTAACAATCGAACCGTTGTTGGAACCTTTTCTGAACATTTGTCAGTTTTTACATTTTATTAAGTTTTTAACACTTTTGGAGCATTTTACTAATATTTTTCACTGCTGGTAATTTTTTGACCAGGGTTAGGGTTATTTTTGGGAGACTTTTTTTTAGGGCTAGACTTTTTTTTTCTTTTCTTTTCTTTTCTTTTTTTTACAGTAATTAAAAAAAAAACATATCTTCATTACATCCATAATTTTTTTCAGTGCATTTTATTAATATTCTTTTGACATTTTCGATCTAATTAAATTATTAAAAACTGAAACAGTCTGCCTGTTTATTATTTTTCATTGTTTGCATGTGTTATTACATTGTTATTATATTTTATTTGTGGTTTTACATCATTTTTGAATAATCTAATGAATTTTCTATTCATAAAGTTTTTTTTAAAGTTTTTTTTACTGTTTTATGACACGTCATTATTTATTTTCAAATTTGTTTCTAGATAGCGATTTCCCAGAACTAATAAATCTTAAAACATCCATCCATCATCTCTACACCTTCATCCTCACTATGGGGGGCGGAGTCTATCCCAGCTGACTCAGGGTGAAGGCAGGTTCACCTGGACAGGTAACCAGTCTATCACAGGGCTACACTTAGAGACAGACAACCAAGCACACTCACATTCACACCTACGGACAATTTACAATCACCAATTAACCTCAGCATGTTTCTGGACTGTGGGAAGAACTCGGAGAGAATAAACATGTTGCTGCAGCTGCAGGTCCATCAGCGTCCTGTAGGAGGCGTTCAGGAGCTGCGCTAAGAGGACGTTTTCTCTCTGCTGTCCAGCAGCGGCACAGCTGGTTGGATGATTGGTGTGGGAAAGTGAACGGACGTGAAAAAGCCCTGAAGCAGATCTGATTGGGTTGTTTCCATGGCAACAGAGGAGGCAGAAGACAAAAACTCGGTAATAAACTTTTCAATCATATTCAGATTCTCGTCTTTATGTTTAACACATGAAAACAACCATAAAACCTGACTCCAACATGCAGAGCGCAAAGAACACCTGGGTCACATGACTCACCTGCACGGTGACATCACACCTCTCTCTAACTGGACCATGTGACCCGGGTTCTCTGAGAACCTTCGTTGTAGTTTTAACAGCAAGCGACAAACAAAGGATTTAATTTAAGCAGCGAAGAAGAAACAAAAACTAAAATAAAAGGGTAGAAGAAGAACAGGACTGGTATATAAATGGTTAATATCGATCAATAACATCTGCATCATAAAACCTTTGACCTAATGATTGATCTACAGCTGATTGATTGACTTCACCATCATCTATTGCTGCGGCTGAATCAGCAAGTGTCTGTTGCTATGGTTACTGACAAGTCATCTTGGTGATGTCAGAGGTCAGAGTCCAGGTGGGCGTGGCTAAGCAGGGCGGCAGCTGGGTCATCAGTGGGCAGGTCAGAGTCGAAGAAAGGCTCCGCCTCCAGCTCCAGCAGAGACGGCAAGTCGGCTCCGCCCTCCCCCACGCTGATTGGTTCAGACATCTGGACAGGTGTGGCTGCCGAGTACTGCACCAGCTGCTTCCCTGCACCAATCAGAGAGCAGCATGAAGTCACCACGGCAACCGGTAGCTAAGGGTGTGAGGGTGATCCGAAGGTGTGACTTACCTGTGTTGCTTTCAGCACTTCCTTTAGGAGCCTCTTCAGACAGCAGCTAACAGGAAACAGCGACATCACAGTCAGACGGGTGTGACATCATCACCAACACAAAATAAGCCGATGCTCTTATTTTGAAAACGGTTAAGAAAATAAAAGCCAGTAATAAACTCACCGTGTCCAAACTGTCGAGGTCAAAGTCTGCTGGAGCGCAGGACGAACTGAAAAACTGAAGACACAGAGGTGAGGTCAACACACACAGGTAAAGCCCACACAGGTGGCATCAGCACAGTAATACTCAGGTGTTACCAGGTGACTCACAGTCGGACTGACCTCCATGAGCGGAGACGTGTCGAAGGTGAAGGTCTGTGTGTTCAAGATGTTCTGCAGGTTCTCTAAACTGTTGTCAATGCTGTCCACATGGTCCAACAGCTCTGACCTGGGACACACACACATACACACACAGGTGGACAGGTGAGACACACAGGTGAGACTGACATGAGGCTGCTGGTGGTTCTACATTTCCCTTCTTGTCCACACAGGTCCAAACCAACAGTCCTGTCTGCTGTCACACCTGGACCCTGCAGGTGGGACTACTTTCAGCATTGGTTTGGCTCTGCACTACAGCAACAGAAATGTAGAACGCACCAGGTAAGAACAGGTGTGTTGAAAATAAGAACTTATAGTGTCACTGATTCACTTTTCAGCTTGTGTTGATACGAAGCGCCAGACGTCAGGTGGGAGTCCACCTGCAGAGGGAGGGGGGCGGGGTCTGAGGGAAGCACAGGGATTTTAATGACATACCTGTCGGTCAGCAGGAGGTCATGTGACAACAACATACTGACTCCTACCGATGATCAAACACATTAATCCATCACACAGGTAAACACTGAAGAAGCAGGGCATTCTGGGTAACATGGGGCACTGGGCGGGGGGACATGAGGGGGCAGTTTTAGAGTAGGTGTTGACAGGTGTTAGGGAAGGCACTAACTACTACTACCCCAACACCTGTCAATAACTACCCCAACACTACCCTGTAGACAGGTGTTGGGGTAGTTGTTGACAGGTGTTGGGGCAATTATTGACAGGTTTTGGGGCAGTTATTGACAGGTGTCGGGGTAGTTGCTAGCAGCTGCTACTAGTAGGTGGCACTAACGCTACCAGTGTCAGACTTACCTGTCGATACAAGCGATGGTCTGACATTTCTGCTGAGGTGCGGTGGAGAAGTTGGGGGCAGAGTATGGTGGGGCGACAGAGGCAGGCGATTGGCTGGTTAGAGTTTGTGGGAGAGGCCCAGTGGAGGCAGGGCTCGTCACCACAACAGGACTGGCTGCAGAGGAAACAGGAAGTTTAATTTACTGACTCAGGAATTAAACTACCAACCCCAGACATCGAGCACACCTGTGGGGGGACTGCAGGTGGAGGTGATCGGGGTGGGCGGCGCTGTCTCACTGTCCTGTAGGATGGCGTTGATGAAAGTGGTGGGGGAGAGGGGCGTGTCCACAGGTGTAGCCACGCCTTCCAGAACAGGACACACCTCCACCTCAGGACTGCACGGCTCCTCTTTGATGTCCACTGATTGGCCATCTCTGCAAGCAAGCCAGAAATATTAGAATGTGACTGATCAGTCACTCACTACACGAGACTGATCTCATTGGTCCTCACCCTGGGTCCGTCCAATCACCGACCACATCGTCTGCGGTGGGTGTGGCCACCTCTGTGATGTCAGAGATGATTGGTCCTGAAGTCAGCGGTGAGTCAGCTGAGAAGAGACTCGCAGCAGCCTGAAGACACAAACAGAGGTATTGGTTACTGACCACAAACACACCTGTGATTGAAGTTCAACAAACACCTGCACAGGCGTGCAAAGAAAACTGCTTTTTACCGACGATAAGGAGTCAATCAGCTCATCAACAAATCCAACCACTCAAAACCAGCAGTGACGATGAGCTGTTCTCTTAAAGATCATCCCTGCTTCCTGTACTGTTCTTACCTGATGCTACCTGCTCTTACCTGCAGACACCTGATGTCTGGCTGGCAGTCCCCTCCTCAGCTGACGTGAGTCTGCATTAAAACCAAAATCTTGAAGCAGACAGGTGAGTCAGAGAAAGCTTACCTGCATGTGCTCCAATGAGAAGGGTCGGCTGTATTTGGGCATGGAGTGGGCGGAGTTAGAGTCATTGAGCATCAGAGGGCTGCAGGTGGAAGAAGGAGACACCGAGTGAACAAACAGTGTAAACAGGAATCACAATCATTGTCTTTAAAGGGACATTTCACTGATTTTCCACCTGAAGCTCAGAAAGGAAACGATTAACAGAGAAACCGACAGGTCTGTACTTCAAACTACAGTCTGTAATTATTCAAATGTACTTTGCAGCAATTAAAGTGAAGTTTGTACTATTTAAAGTATTCTAATTAGTATGTGTGGTAACGTGTGTAGTATTTGTAGTATTAGTAGTCAACTTGCATCTTCCTCTTGACTCCCATGATCCTGTTGGACTGGACGAGAGACACCAGAAACTGGATCAACTGCAGAGAGAGAGGGTTTATTATTAGTGCAGATGGAAGCTAAGCTAACATGCTAACGAGATGCTACAGCTCCCGTTTGCATTGTGCTGATTGTGCATCAACAGATTCTTATTGGCTGACAGAGGATCCCTGGGCTGACATCACAGCTCTTCTCAGGTAACCACACACCTGATACTCGAGGAAGACGGAGTGAATAGCAGAAGGTCTACTGGGTTCTACTGGGTTCTGCTGATCATGTGTTCGTACCTTGTTGACGACTTTCTGCTGCTGAGTGTGTTTCTGTCTCAGACTGGCTACTTCCCTCCACAGAGCCTCGTTCTCACTGGAACACACAAACACAGGCTTCATTAATGAGAACACCTGAGACCAGCTACAGGAACCCAGCAGGGGGAGTTCTGGTTCTGGTTCTCACTGCTTCATCGCGATGATCCTGGAGTCGATGGTCTCCTGTTTTCCCTTCATCAGCTGGACGTCCGTCAAGATCTTGTTCACTTCATCTGCAGAGATCTTCACCTCCTCCTGACGCACCGTCGCCACCTGGACCAATCACAGCGCAGATACTGTTACCATGGAGATAGAGGGCAGGCTCACCACCATCAAGTGTAGCTGCAGGTTTCCAATTTTCTTACAGGTGTATCCATGTCTGTAGGTGTTGTCAGGTGTGTATCTGCAGGTGCTGTCAGTGTGTCTCTTGGTACATACGTTGGTGACTTTGCGTTTGATGTTCTCCAGCAGATGTTCTTGTCCTCTGATGAAGAACGGGTGCTGGAACTCAGTGTCGTCTCTCTCTGGTTTCACCAAACCTCCCTGCTCGATGTGAACCACCTTACGGAACCCATCTGAACAGAGAACATACAGCAGAACATCACTGACTGTGACAAACTCAGCAGTTGTTAATGTTGATCGGTTACCGTTTGAACATCTGATACTCACACATGTTGAGCTGTCTGATGAAGCTGGCCATGTTGTTGTGTTTGAAGAATTTTGGTAGAACTTCTTTAGAGAACCGGCCCTGATCAAACACATGGAAGCTGGTTCCACTCTGACACACAGACAAACACGAGTATTACCAACAGAATGACAACAACTATCTGAACTCCAGCAGGATGAAAACAGAAACGACTCCATTAATCAGCCAGAAGCTGTAAAATAAGAAAGAACAGTTTTTCCTTAAACAGCTTTGTGTGACTTAGAATTATAATATTTCATTCAAATCACTTTATTCTACAGGTCCCATTTAAAATTCACCAAAATTAAACTGTCAGCTCTAACCGGGTTCAATGAAAATAAATAAAATAAAATGAAACCGCAAAGCCACCACAGACTCAGCTGAGACCAACAGGAACCATTCAGAGAGCTTCAGCTGAACTGCAGCCAGTGTTTCCTCAGAGAGACTGAGAGGAGAACCCATCCTGCTGGATCAATGAATAGATGCAGCACGGATCAGAACCAGAGACCAGAGGAGCCAGTTGGTGGAGATACATTCAGCTGATGGTGGAACATCTTTCTACATCTGATGGTGGAACATCTTTCTACAGCTGATGGTGGAACATCTTTCTACAGCTGATGGTGGAACATCTTTCTACTGATGATAAGCAGAGCAAAGAGAAGTCTGGAAGATAGGAGATAGTTCAACATCTGCAGGACGAGGAGATGAGCTCCAGGGTTTAACATCTGAGGAAACATGTTGGTTCCAGGTTTTCTTTCCCAGTTTTATTAAATTCATAATATTTTTTTCTTGGTTTTCTGGATTCTAGAAATGAGCCACAGTGAGGAAAAAACATCCAGAACCTGCTCACGGTTTAGAGGGTTAGCTGATTCATCAAGTTATTGCTTTTCTTCAATAAATAATAACCAGCACATTAGTCAATAACAGATCATATTGTTTTTATTTGACCTGTATTTAACCAGGCAAGACAGATCAAGAACACAGTTCTTATTTTCAACTGTGGCCTGGCTGAAGGTGAAGCCTTTTGAAGGAAAGGGACAAGGGGGCGAAAATCTGATCTTTAGCTGCTCACTGATGTTCAGCTGAACTTGTCCTCAGGTGCTCCAGAACCATAGCGTCCCAGTTTGACCAGCTCAGTATGTGGCTGTATTCAGATCAGTTTATAGCCAGACGATGTTACTGGTAGCCTGTACTGGTCTGAAGTCCAGCGGACTGGGCAGGTTCTTGATCAGGTTTCTCTAGCCGTCAGTCCTTCTAACTACCAACATGAATCCCTGATATGATCCAGGTTACTGTGCCCCAAACCAGTGAGTTAAACTGGTGAAACTTAACAAGATTTCCAGTTTCAGCTGTTTCTGAAGTTATCTGAGTTATCTGAGTCTGTCTGGTTGTTGCTGCCGTTGATGTCGAGTCTGAGCTCATTTGTCTGACATTTACAGCACAAACAGCTCCGTCCTGTTGTGGAAGAAACCACTGCAGAGAGCACTCTGCTGCAACATGAGGCGACATTGTGAAGACAGTCCTCTTACTGAGTTCAGCTCAGTGAGGCCTCAACCATCCATCCATCATCTCTACACCTTCATCCTCACTGGGGTCATGGGGGGCGGAGCCTATCCCAGCTGACTCAGGGTGAAGGCAGGTTCACCTGGACAGGTAACCAGTCTATCACAGGGCTACACTTAGAGACAGACAACCAAGCACACTCACATTCACACCTACGGACAATTTACAATCACCAATTAACCTCAGCATGTTTCTGGACTGTGGGAGGAAGCCGGAGAACCCGGAGAGAACCCACGCTGCACGGGGAGAACATGGAGACTCCACGCAGGAAGATCCCGGGTGTCCTCACCGGTGCTAACCACTGAAAAACCTTGCAGAGAACAGTTAATCTAATGTGCTGACCCTCCACCTGTCCACCAGGTGTCCCTGTGTGTTCCTGTTGCAGAGGCTGAGCAGAGGGTCGTCACTTGATTGAGCCTCACCTGGACCCAGTGACTCAGGACCCAGGACTCAGCCATGTAAAGCCTCCCTCATTCTGTCTCCTGCTGGCTCTCTAACAGGCTCTGACAGGAGCTGCCTGTCTCCAGGAACACAAGCAGCAGGGTTTGGGGGTATTGTTTGGTTGTTTTTATGCACCTTTTGATTTTTGTTAAAATAAATCTTTTTAGTCAAAACACAGTTGTCTCCCGTTTTTTGTCAGTGTTGAGCCAAGCTGTCACACTAAATATGACCCAAGTGACAGGTGCTGCATGTATACTCAAACTGTCACAACATACAGGTACAGACGAAGCCCTGAGACACTACAGATCCTATTATCTAAAGGAGCATGCAGCAAAAATCCCATCAGTTTTATAATTTCAGAAAAGCAACCTGATAAAGTCCAGACTCTCATCACATCTTTCAAATCACTTTTTTGTAGAATCAACCTCAACTACAAACACGGCAGAATCATCTGCACTGAGCCGTTTATGTGAAAAACATTTCTATTCTGTGTTTTATAAGTGGAGTTTATAGTTTTGACTGTGTTGGCACAGACCTCAGACTGTCCGCTGATTAAAAAAAAATGGTCCTGGTGCTATTTTTATATGGATACAGCATCCCATCTACTGTCCCCTGGTGGGGTGCAACTTGTTAACGGCTGAAAATCTCCACTTAGTGGACACTTCAAACCAGTTACAACCAGTTTAAATCTGAACATAGAAAAAGTGAAGGAGCTGCTCTGTAAGTGCTGTTAGTTCAGCTGTTCATCTCCACCGACACGAACGAACAGCTGGTCAGCAGCTGAGCCTGCAGGCTGACTGTGGCCACTTCATCACGCAGAAACACGTTGGTTCAGTCAGTCAGTGGAGGAGCAGTGAAGTCTGAACCCAGATCTGATATCTGACTGATAAGCTCGGTCACCTCAGAGGTTAAACGTGTTGAAGCTAACAGCTATTCAAAGTTAGCTGACTATCTGATGTTAACTCTTGATTGTCTGCTGTTTACATAAACTTCAGCTACTCTCTAATGGACTGTATCTGTTAGCCCTGCAGGCTAGGCTAGGCTAAGCTAGGCTAAGGTGAGTACCGGGCTCCAGCAGATGAGCGGGTCGGTGTCCGGATCCTCCACCAGGGTCCATAGCTTCGTCAGGAAGGCCGGGACGTTCCCGCCGCTCAGCACCGCCCCTCCCCCGCCTCCTGCACCGGGATACTCCATCAGGCAGAATCAAACACACGGCTAATCTGAGCTAACGGTGCTAACAGCTAGTTTTCTCAGATATCCGCAAACAGAGCGACAAACCGCGCCACGCAGCTAGACTGCGGTCTGATCAGGGTCACAGAGAGTTCAGTCCTAGTCCTAAAGTTTGTGGTTCTCATCAGATTTGCCAGTGACCCGAAAACGTCAACCAGAACTCATTCCGTGACGGAAAATTCCTACAAATCCGATAAAACAACAACTGCGTAGCTAGCGGGCTGTCGCACGGCAATGACATGGGAGCACACGTAAGACAAATGTTTGGTCGCGTTGTTGTGACGTAAAGAACAGCAATCCAGATTCTTTTCATTTTAACGCCTGAGTTAAAAACACACCTGAGAATTTAGAGATGGTTTATTTAATCCACATTCAAAGTCTACTTTATGTGCAAATCAAATTGTTTTACAACAGCAAGTTTCCAGGTTTACATTTATAGGGAAAGTGTATTTGATCAGCAGGTTCCTACCGAGTGGAAACAAATAAACAAACAACAGAAAACCATTGTAAAGAGGGTGATCAGGAATTTTAATTACTTCTCTGTTTTGTTTTTGTACATTTCTAATAAAATAATGCCACGTTCATAATTATTCATACCCTCAGGAATCAGTCTTCATTTTGCTTCACATCAGTCCAACAGTTGTTCTCGTGTCTTTGTGCAGGTCTCCACTGGGATCTGGTTCCTCCACCTGTCCATCTCCAGATCTTTGAAGGCTTCCTCTTCATCACTCTGCTCTTCAGTTCCTCCACAGGTTCTGGATGGATTCAGGTCCAGACTCTGGCTCCAACATCTTCACATCGTTTCCGCTTCACCCTTTCCTCACCACTTCATCTGTTTATTTCACATCATTGTCTTGTTAATATAATATTTAAAGTTGTTTGGTAATGTCAGAATGTTAATCTAATGTCTATGTTGTAAAGCACATTGTCTGAATGGCTGCTGTTTTCCAGTGATATATAAACAATGGTGATTTGACCAGTACGGTTTTAATTATTTTACTTGTATTTATCAATATTGACATTTTGCATTTTTGTGTCTGTTCTAACTTTGTGTGAAGTGCTGTTGTTGCCCTGCTTGAGCCCTTTGTAACCTCTGTTCTTGACAGTTTTCTATAAATAAAGTCATCTTATTATCATTGTGGCTTTATTCTGCAGATATCACAGTGTCTCAGTGAGTCTTTCCTCTGTGACTCTGACATAAGTGCTGACGGTGCTGCTTACAGGTTAAACTACAGAGTTCTGATCAGTGAGTCACAGCTGAAGGATCAACCGGAACCTGAAGGTCCAGACCAAGAGAACCGGACCCACAGACCTGAAGCTGCAGCACGGATGTAGGTCAGACAATCACGTGTACTCCTGACGTTTGTCCGTCAGGTGGCGCCACCGGTAAACTCAGTCCTCCGTGTGTGACGCGTGAGCTCTGACCCCGCAGCTTCCCACGTGGTTCAATGGAGGAAAGCAGCAGCAGCAACGTGCCAAGCTGTGAGAAGAGAGGAAAGATGAAGAGGACGAAGAAAAGGAGCAAAGAAGAAGACGAGCAGGAGGAGCAGGTGAGACACACACAGGTGGACAAGACGGGGAGCACTGGGAGCACTGGCACGAAGCTGCGACTAGCTGTTAGCATGCTAACCGGGAAAGCAGCACCGCAACAGGCTGCTGAGGAGAAAAACAGACGGAGGTGTTGGTATCAGTGTTAACAGAGCGGAGCCGAACCGAGCCGCTGACCGAACCGAACCGGTCAGTGACCGCAGAAGTTCGGACAGAACTGCATAGAAAAAGCGCTGCTTAAAAAGGTCAGACTGTGAACGGAGTTCTGAACGGAGAAGGGAGCCTGTGTGGGCTCAGTTCTCTGGGAAATAAAACTGCTAAAGTTCGCTGCCGCTGGTTAAAGTTGCACTGAAACAAACAGTTTTGTTAGCTTTAAACACACAGCAGCTGATCCAGCTGGTTGTTTTCTGGTGCATGTTTCCTGACACCGTCAACATCCACCAGAAAACAACCAACAGCTAGCTAGCAGCGCTGCTGCAGTTAGCATGGAAGCTCGGCTGTTTTCTTCCGGTCTGAGCAGAGCGAAGAGATGCTAACGCTCTAACACGCCAAACTCCATTCACAATCTGACCGTTTTAAGGCATGTCACTTTTCTCAGAACGAACCCAGTTTTTACTCTGTGTACATGTTGTTGTTGATATTCAGTGTGACTGACTGGTAATGTGTTAAAAGAAAGTTAAAATAATGTGTATGAGTGTAGATTTAGATGGAAGATTTAAATACACTATTTAATGCAAATGTTGTTTTAATCTTTTGTTAAAAAAGCTAAAATCATTCGGTTTTTGTATGAAGTCTGGTTCAGCGTAAGTTACTAAAATCTGTCTCTTCTTCAGGTGTTCGACTTCAACAACAAACCTGCAGACAAAGACGATGATGAAGACGGTCTGTCTGACAGCGAGGACAGCGTCTTCTCAGGACTGGAGGATTCTGGGAGCGACTCTGAGGAGGAGGAGGCGGAGGTGTCACATGATGATGATGATGAGGATGATGAAGATGATGATGATGATGATGAAGGGGAACAGAGTCAGCAGGTAGACTGTGATTGATGGTAGGGTAGAAAGTGTTCATCTGACGAACATCATCACCTGTGTTCTGTTCCGCCTGCAGACGGAGAAGAAGGGAAGCGAAGAGAAGAAAGCAGACGAGTATGAACACGACTCTTCAGACGAGGAGGTCAGACGAGCTTATCTCTTTATATCGTCTCCCTACATGTCCTGTTTGGTTTCTAATGTTCTCCGATGTTCTGCAGGACATCAGAAACACGGTGGGGAACATTCCCATGGAGTGGTACAAAGACTTCCCTCACATTGGCTATGACCTGGATGGGAAGAAGATCTACAAGCCAATCAGGAACAAGGATGAGCTAGACGACTTCCTGGACAAAATGGAGAACCCCGACTACTGGTGAGCTGGCTCGCGTGATGCTAACGCCTCCTTATGTTTAAATATAGGATGCTAACGCTGCTAACTGTGTCCCTGCAGGAGAACGGTCCACGACAAGCAGACGGAGAGTGACATCGTGCTGTCAGACGAGCAGGTGGAGCTGGTGAAGCGTTTGCAGAGGGGTCAGTTCGGAGATGTCAACTTCAACGAGTATCAGGTATGCTCAGTGGCTCCGCCCACTCAGCACAGCCCCAATGTTCTCAGGTGAACTGTTGTTCAGCTGTGCCTGCTGCAGAGGACTCTCACACCTGGACAATCCTCAGATCCTGTTGTTGGGCACTGATCTCCTTTATGTTAAATCAGTAATTACAGTAAAGATGATGTCTATCATCAGTTAATGTTCTGTCTCGCCTCACTATCATTCCGCTGCCGAGGAAAACACATTCTTTAAACCAATCAGAGTAGTTGTGGGCGGAGCTAAGCCCAGGATGCAGTAACAGTTTTCCTGCGAAAGAGTGGCTGTGGAGTTTTGTTGGTGGAACAGTTGCAGGGAGACAAGAACGGTTATTAAAATGGATCATTCGCCGACAGAACCAGAAGAACTGCTCTACTGTGTGAACCCGAGCCTCAGAGAAACTTCTCATTTTTAGTGTTCAGGTTGCTGATCGCAGGTTGTTGTTGTTTCTTGTACTGCAGTTTACCTGTTTACCTGCAGAATGTCTGTCAGAGCTGCAGACTTAGACCTGAAATCTACATCCTGGTGAAGTCTAGTGCAGTGTTCCAGGTTTTTTGCTCTTGTAATCGTAACTCAGAAGAGTGTTGCAGAGTCCCAGTCTCTCTCCTATAAGTGTTTATGTAAGTTTACAGAATATATCTTGACAACATGTTTACATCTTCAAGACACACGCAAGTTATTGATGTACGACGACGTAAATGAGAGTTTTTTCCTCCTATTCTGGGAACTTTTTAATACAGTTTAATATATTTGGATATTTATTTAGTTTCTACATTTTAGTCAGAATTTTCAGGCAATTTTTAGATATTTAATTTATTCTGAGAATTTTTTTCTAATATAAATTTTGAAATTTAGGTAGTAGTTTAGAAGACTTTTTTTTGCTCCCACTCTGTTTCTGTAAATCTCCAGACTTTCCTGTTTTATTCCTGTCTATATTCTGAAGGACTTACAGAGCATTCTGTTCTTCATCACTCACAGGATGATTTATGCAAAAACCCAAAAACATGAGGAAGAGGTCTTTTTATTTTCTGCTTTATTTAAAGTCGCCTTCGTAAAAACCTTCAACTGTTATGTGTCAGCAAAATGAAACAAGTAGTTTGAAGCTGATTTATCCAAAGCTGCCATCTGTGTGACGTGCAACTAGTCAGGTAGAGCTGTGGAGGTGTATCCAAGTCGACCTTGTGTTCACCTGTATCACCTGTTGTTCATGTGTCTCCTGCTCAGCCGTCGGTGGAGTTCTTCACCAACGAAGTGATGCTTCATCCAGTCACCAACAGACCTGCAGACAAACGCAGCTTCATCCCCTCACTGACCGAGAAGGAGAAGGTACTTTACCTGTCTGACCTCCACCTGTCTGACCTCCACCTGTATGTCTCACCTGTCTGACCTCCATGTATGTCTCACCTATCTGACCTCCACCTGTCTGTCTCACCTGTCTGACCTCCACCTGTATGTCTTACCTGTGTGCAGGTGTCTAAGCTGGTCCATGCTATAAAGATGGGTTGGATAAAACCTCGGCGGGTGGAGGACGACAGCAAGGGGCGCTACTACGACCTGTGGGCCACTGAGGACTCTTCTATTCTGGCTCAACACAGGATGCACCTCCCTGCCCCCAAAATCCCTCTACCTGGTCACCAGGAGTCCTACAACCCCCCACCAGAGTACCTTTTTACTGATGAGGAGGTGGGTCACCTGGTCACCTCAGCTGTTGAGAGAATGCAACAGTCTACAGAAAAGTTCAAAGGCTGAGCTTAAACAAACTGTCTCTCTCAACACCTGTCCCCCTACCTGTCTGTCCACCTTTGTCCCTACCTGTCTCTGTCTCTGCAGCGAGCTCTGTGGGAGCAGCAGGATCCGTCAGACAGAAAGTTGCCATTTGTTCCAAGAAAATTCTCGAGTCTCCGTCATGTTCCAGCATTTCCTCGTTTTATCCACGAGCGGTTTGAGCGCTGCCTCGACCTTTACTTGTGTCCGCGGCAGAGGAAGATGAGGGTAACGGCTACAGTTACATCAGTCAACCAGCAGATGGAGCTGCAGCATTAGCGCAAAGCTACATTACCTGTCTGTCTGTCCGTAGGTGAACGTCAACCCAGAGGATCTGATTCCCAAACTGCCAAAACCGAAAGACCTGCAGCCATTTCCAACAACACAGTCTCTGGTAAAGACACACCTGGTTACACACACCTGATACCACACACAGCAGTCAGGTGAGTCCTTACTGACATTATCTTCCTGTCTTTACTTGTGTGTTCAGGTGTATCGGGGCCACAGCAGTCTGGTTCGTTCCATCAGCGTGTCTCCATCAGGACAATGGCTCGCTTCAGGTAACTTCATTCAGTCACCTGTCTGTCATGTTATAATCCATCAGCGCTGCTCAGCCAGCAAGCTAGCAGGAGTTTGGCTAAAAGGAGTTGAGCTAACGAAGGCAGTACTGTGTGTTTACAGGAAGTGACGACGGCTCAGTCAGGTTCTGGGAGGTTTGTTCGTCTCGCTGTATGAAAACAGTCCAGGTGGGCGGAGCTGTGAAGAGTGTCACCTGGAACCCAAACCCATCTATCTGTCTGCTGGCTGTCGCCCTGTAAGGACCCAACCGTCTGTCTGCTTCTGTCTGTTTATACACCTGTTTGTCTGTATACCTGTCCATTTACCTGTCTGTCCTTCCGCGTGTCATGTGACAGCACCCTGTCTCTCTCTCTGACATCATTCGTCTGTCTGGTTCCAGGGACTCGGTGGTTCTGATCGTTTCTCCGTCTCTGGCAGACAAACAGGTCGTCTCTGCGTCAGAGCGACTCCTCACTGGTCAGCAGGAGGAGGAGCCATTGGAGGGGGCAGGGCCTGTCTGGTGCGAGGCTGAGGGGGAGGAGCTTAACCAGGGGATCCGCCTCAAAATACAACATCCTAAAGTGAGAAAGCCATGTGATTGTTTGTTGCCAGGCCCCTGGTCCATACCTGAACTGAACTGATCGATCAGTGTTGCTCTCCTCAGGCCGTCCACCAGGTGACGTGGCACGCTAAAGGAGACTACCTGGCGTCAGTGATGCCGGACCACTCGAGCAACATGCAGGTGTTCATCCACCAGCTGAGCCGGAGGCGGAGCCAGAACCCCTTCAGGAAGAACAAAGGTCTGGTTCAGTGCGTATCCTTCCACCCCGTCAGGCCCTACTTCTTCGTGGCGACGCAGCGCTCCGTCCGAATCTACAACCTGGTCAAACAGGAAATGACCAAAAAACTACAAGCCAACTCCAAATGGATCTCCAGCATGGCTGTCCACCCGGGAGGTGAAAACCACACCACGTCAACATCAGAACTAGATCCACCCAAACACCAGACTTTCTCATGACACGTCACACATCACTGCCGAGGGGTGGAGCTTGTGTCTCACCTGTCTGTGTGTCTGCAGGTGATCATGTGATCTGTGGGAGTTACGACTGCAGGCTGAGCTGGTTCGACCTCGACCTGTC